CATTCTATATCGCACAAACCCTCCACCCCCTCCATTTCACCCTCATTTGCCTCACACATTCATTTTCACCTGGAACTTCAGACCATCTATCTAACACTAGTGCCTCATGGAAATCCTGCCAAAGTTCCGTCGCGTCTCATCTCGACTACCGCCCAAGTCTCACCGAATTCTCCGCCAGCTGAGGTTGTTTGTCCTCAATTCTCCCTCACGCTAGGCAAGTTTTACGTGCGTACTCTGATGCACATATGACAGCAGGCTTGTGTTAGCCCGTGCACTCAAGAACATAACCATCAATTTGCCGTGTCCAAATGACGCGTTGGCGTAGCTCTCAGCGAGTGGGAGATCCCGGTCGACAGTTGGTTCAGCACAGTGAAGCCTAAAGGTTCGAAAAAGGGGGATGGCTGTTGGCTCTATGTTCTGACCACCACCTATTCCCCACCAGTACGAACTTCAGATGATTCAAGTACTGGAACGCTAATTGACGTCCGCCATCCAGTCTTTTTCTTTCTTTTTTATTTTAATTTTACTTCCTCTTATTGAATACACATTGATACCATTTTCAGGAAGGGTGAAGCGGCCAGTCAAAGGGCTGCCATGGGGAAAGTCAGGCGGTGGTGGTGGGGTTCGAACACGTTCCTCGAGGTGGTAATTTGGTGACGTCACCACCGGGCCACCAACGCCAGTCGGCGACGAACACAAGTCAACCACAGCGCTATAAGCTATAAATGGCGGGGTTGCATACAAGACTGCCGATCGTACTGGAGCACTCCCTTCGGATCCGACCAACTGTTTTTCAAAACACCAACTGAAAAGCTTGAACATACCCTGGTGTAGGGATGTGAAGAAGCTAGCTTCAACATTGGCTTTAGTTGGTGCAGCCCGCCTTTCAGGTTAGGGCCCAAAATATGAGGATTGTCGTTCTTCGGAGAGGCTGATTTTTGACTTAGATTAGATGTCAGTGGCGTGAGTGGTATACAATCTTTCTGCTGAAATGCCTTGCCTCAGAAACGACAAATAAACACTAAGTACCGAAAATTGCACAGTGAAACAAATAAAAACGTTCTTTTGGTTCTCTGTAATCTTTCTTCTTTTCTAAATCTGATCCCACTTTTTTGTTCTTGTCTTATTTACGTTGGTACCGGTGATGAATATAATTCACAATAGCTTGTTTGTTCGGTCCGGTCCGCTATCCCTTTGCCCTTCCTTCCGATTGGCAAGACTCCTTCAGGTAAATTTTTAGCCAGATTTCGTCGTCAAATACCATAGGGTATCATCGAATAAACCGCTCGTCTACCCATAAAGTTCAAAGCCTTCAACGTAAGAACTCTCATGTAGGTTGGTCAACCATCACGATGAAACTCCACTTTGACGTAGTGTGATGGCGTGTGCACCTNCCTCCGATCTAACGAGCTACACAGGATGGCTTTTGCTAAGCCGAAGATCTAATCACGCCCGGAAGGTTGAAGCGTAGAGGTCAGACAGAGTTCAGTTTCCTGGTCCTCCAAGTTTGGGGTTCGACTCGGATTGATGTTGAAGTCGGTAAAAATGCTGGCGGAGTAATTGATCCAAGTAATCGGGCTTCCACTTCGCTTTACCCATTGCCTCGTGTTTAGGTTTTTGTTATAACCAAAGGCTTTGATTGAACACCCTGATCGTTTTCCTGCTTAACCAAAAACTCAGCTGATATGGAGTACCAGAAGTCATCTCACCGGTCTGTGATGTCATTTGCGATAAATGTGGACAGTGTCCATAATAAAGAACCACAAATAGGCCCAAACCCTGTCCATCTTGTGCTTTCTTACTTTGTTCACAGTGTTAGCTTGGTAACAGTCAGCGAAGTTGGCTTCAATGTATTTCCCTGTATGATGATGGTGCAGCCAAAACCACTATAATACTATATGGTTAATGGTTGTAAAAAGGGCAAATCCAACGACGTACCATTTAGAGGGGGGGGGGAGAAGGATTCACGATAGGTTCAGTTCTTTGATCCTTGTTTTGAAAAAAATAATGATTGCAAGTGTGAGTAAAAGTGAACAAAGGGAGAGTAGTTCAAAATTCGGCTGCTGTGGGAACAGGAGGACTAAAAACCAGTAATGTGGGACCTGGAAATAAATACCTTACAGGGGTGTCTGAAGTGATGAGGAAATGTAAGGGATCGGTATAGATGAGGCAAGCTCGGATGATCGAAAATTAATGTAGTGTTTCTGTTTTTACAACTATTAATCATGCATCTTCGTGCGGCTGTATTGATTGCTGTCTTCTGGCTGTCCGTTTGGATAAAACAGCCGATGGAGGATTGGAATGTTGAGAAAAGTGTCAAAGAGAAAATAGGGAATTCTGATCAATCAAGGTTGCAAAGAGGTAGAGAAGATGAACGAGAGCCGCTGTTTACGTTGCACAGTCTTATCACTGTGTCCCTAACCATTGGTCACACGGATCCCGAAGTCTCTACCGTGGTGAACTCGGCTGAAAGAGTACCCGTAAGCTGGGAATCGACTGTTAGTATAAAGTGATCACAAAATTGAGATAAACTTCTCGAACATACTCTCTAGAGAGAGAGCCAGCACCCGAGTTCATAGTGGTCGACGGAGTCGAAAGCCGCTTTCCGATCGAGGAAGATTGAAATGGTGGGTTTACGAAAGGAATGTCTGTGTTATAGAATTTGACGAATTATGAAGATATACGGAACTTCGACCAGGTCACAAACCAAACTTTTTTACTCATGCACTTTTCGCGTGCGGCAGACAATCGATGGAGTATAGTACCAGTGAGTGGCTTAGAGATAAAGGTCGATCTAAATCCTTTACGGTTTTCGCGAGATCTGCTGCCTTTCTTGTAAACCGACAAAATCACTGACTCACATCATTCATTCGGAACTCTTCCATATTGAACCCAAGAGTTTTGTCACCTCGATGACCACTACTAAATTCGAATAATAGTTGTAAAAAAGGAAAAAGAAATGACCGCCTGACGATGAGCTGGTGACTGCAAGCTGGATACTAAAGAAAAGTTACCGATAAGGCGAATTTCCTTATATTAAATACGTTCGAGCAGCGAGAATGGACGACACATCATACACATATTCGAGGGTGGGGTAAACCCATGCTTTATAAAATAGGCAGGCTAGAGTATTGATTCGTCTGATGCGGACTAAGAAACCGATCTTGCGAACAGCACCAGAAGCACATGAGGAAATGTGGCATACGTCACATAACTGTTCGGGCTTTGTCTCCGGTATACTCCGTACTTCAGAAGAAAATAAAGCTCGTTTATTTGGTTCATATAAAGTGGTTATTGTACAAAGCGTTAAAGCCGGAACCTCACCTGTTGATTGAATTCCCGACAGCAATCGTTCGTGTGGCTTCAGACTTCAGTTTGTTTCGGAAGGGAAGCAACATCCAAATTATCATTTTGGCATGTACTTTTACTGAATGCCGTTGTGATGCACAAAGGTACAAGTTCTATGACAAACTTATTTGGTTCAGCCGCGACTCCAATATGAAGGTGCTTGTAGGTAATTTTACCTTGGAATCAAGGTGACCTGATGTTGGCTCTTACAAACTATTTCCTCGGATGCCGGCTTTCCACGTGCGGTAGTTGTTTGTGGCGAGTTCGGCGAAGGTGGTGATACCGTAGCCGGACTTCGCGGACCGAGTTCAGTCGTGGGCGTTCCTCGTATTTTAATCTGATTCCCAGGTGCAAGGGAAGAATCACGGGAGTGCGATACAACGTTCCTAACACCGCTCGGTTCATTTATTTGAGCTTCCACTTCTAGCCTGTGAACAACCATGTGCGAGCTGTAAGTTATTTCTGTTGTCAAACGTCTCAGCTTCCGTCAACCTGGATTAATCCTCATGTAACGGGCGTTTTCGACTGCTTGCGGAATTATTTTTTCATACCAAGTTCTGACCTATCGGATACATTTATTTTAAGGTTTTCCACTTGCTTAGTTAACACTTGAGATACACTTTCCCAAACACCACTTTCCACTCTGTCTTTGTGTGTTGTTTCTTTACCCCATATCATCCACAGCTTAATCATGATATGGCTCAGTGGCGTTCATGCGTCTACTTATTATTTTTACAACCCCAGTCTATATGAATTCTCTATCTTCTCTTTGGCTTTGTTCTCAACATTCCAATCCTCATTCTGCTCTTTTATCCAAATGGGCGACCAAAACTGACACATTGCAATGCATTGTTAGTGGTCACGAAAACTGAGTTGAACTGCACTAATCCCGTACCATTCATATTTCGCCTAAATTTTTCTATGGCTAACAATCTATCCTCATGTCATGTACTATCTTTTTATTTTACTGTACTCTTCACTAGGCCATCTAATTTGATCGCACAGTGACTGTACACTTTAGTAGCGTGTACCACCTTGTTCTCTATGGAGCGTAAGACTGAGCAGGTCTGTGTTCACCAATGGTCACCCTTCACCACCGAATTACTGCAGTTAGTGATACCTATTTGTAAAATACCACTATATTCATACATTCATTTTTGTGATTTCTTCTTGAACATCACAACCTGATGTTGTGCACCTCGATTATCTACTTCGAACCAGATTGTTCCACAGTTTGAGGTACGCCAATTTCCCTTTGTGTTGTTCATTCCCATGGTACACATGTGATCCAGTGCACGCCATTATTTATCTTGTTTCAGCCTCGTATTCCCGTCAATGACTAGCGCAACTCAGTCCTTGGAATACTTTGACTTTGTGATCGTCGGCGGTGGTATTGCCGGTGTAGTGTGTGCCGAAACTCTTTGTGAACTTATTCGACCGAGTCGCTTTGGTGGTGCTGACCAATTATCTGCTCCCGGTTTTGCCGAGACCGAACTCAAGGTTGCTCTCATCTCTGCCACCGCCACTGTGAAGACCACAGTGAATTTACGACGGATTACCAATATGATTGAAGCTTTTGATGTGAACGAACAACCTGCTGACAGTTGGTCTCAAACGTGGCCGGGAACGTTGGTTCTGATACGGGATATTGTGGATAAATTAGAGTAGGAATTACTTCTTCCATTTGACCACTTTAATTTAGACCGTCTATGGTTTTCCGGCTTTCATTATCAATCAGTCTTAAACAGTTAATGGGTCTAGTATAAGTTATTAAAATAGGCCTACTCGTTGTGTCCTAGAAAAGTCCAAGTTCATTTGGTCATTTATTGATCAAGCCATGTTTATCGCCCTAGTTTGGAAAAAACACGAACATCGTTTCTAATTGCTTCCCTTATTACTGCAATGCTAATAAGTGAAACATAATGGGGAGCGTTGGTGGAACTGGGGCACTCTCTGTCACACATCCGCTGGTGTGTTTGGATTAACCATGTGAATCTGTTCGCGGTTTGATTTGATCACGCATCTAAGCACGAAATACTCTTAGCACCCTACACCCCGACTCCTTTTCTGCAATGTCCCACAAACACTTATGAATAGTAGAACCGTGAAAGTTGGCATACTTACGCCTTGTATCATCAGTCAATCTATCGGACTTATATACGGATTTGAATTTTGATTTAACAAAATCAATTTTATTCCGTAAAATGTGCCTTGGGACCGCGAAGTGCTTATAGCGCATCTCTTAAACCAACAATGAAGACAAACATTTTTTGATCCATTGCAACGACTTTACTGGAAATAACTGAAAACTATCTCTTAGGCGTAGTCCCAATAGAATTTCGGATCGGATCATCTTCGCACTTCTGATACTCGGTCGAAATATCACACTGTGGATGACACCGAACAATGTTCCAAATCTGAAACATTTTCACTGCGGTTTAAATCAGAACTGTGAGCTGACCATTCGTTGGTATTGATGTTTTCGATACACGACCCTCTTCCTACTGACGTTAGTCGAATGTATAGTAGCATTATTTTTTATCGGGACCCGGCAGATTTCGGGGAATCGCAGGAAATGAACGCCGTTCAAAGTTCTCATGAATGAGTCAGC